CTGTCCCCTTAGCCACATTCACGGCCCCTGTGAGTCCTGTGGTCACCGTGTCCTTCGTGCCCATGACCACAGACTTGGTGGTGTCCAGGCCTGTCTGCACTGTCCCCTTAGCCACATTCACGGCTCCTGTGAGTCCTGTGGTCACCGTGTCCTTGGTGCCCATGACCACAGACTTGGTGGTGTCCAGGCCTGTCTGTACTGTCCCCTTAGCCACATTCATGGCTCCTGTGAGTCCTGTGGTCACCGTGTCCTTGGTGCCAATGACCACAGACTTGGTGGTGTCCAGGCCTCCCTGGGTAACTCCTTTGGCCACATTCACGGCCCCTGTGAGTCCTGTGGTCACCGTGTCCTTGGTGCCCTTGAGCACAGACTTGGTGGTGTCCAGGCCTCCCTGGGTAACTCCTTTGGCCACATTCATGGCTCCTGTGAGTCCTGTGGTCACCATGTCCTTGGTGCCCTTGAGCACAGACTTGGTGGTGTCCAGGCCTCCCTGGGTAACTCCTTTGGCCACATTCACAGCCCCTGTGAGTCCTGTGGTCACCGTGTCCTTGGTGCCCATGACCACAGACTTGGTGGTGTGCAGGCCTGTCTGCACTGTCTCCTTAGCCACATTCACGGCCCCTGTGAGTCCTGTGGTCACCGTGTCCTTGGTGCCCATGACCACAGACTTGGTGGTGTCCAGGCCTCCCTGGGCAACTCCTTTGGCCATGTTTGCAGCCCCCATGAGTTCTTTGGTAACTGCGCCCTTCGTATTGGTGAGGACATTCTTTGAGGTGTCCAAACCTCCCTTGACAAGACCTTTGGCCATGCCCACTGCTCCCATTACACCTCCAGACACTGCCTCCTTATTGCCCATGAGGGCTGACTGGGTGGTACCCAGGCTCCCCTGGGCCATTCCTTTTGCAGCATCCATGATATCAACCACTCCAGAGGAGAAGGCATCTTTGCTGCTTGTCACATTGAAGCTTCCCATGTCTTTGTCCCCAGCTGTCTAATGAGGAAAGGCACAGGTCAGCATCTCACAAAAGTCCCTCTATGTTGTTCACACCTTCTGTGCACCCAATCCTGTGAGTCCCTAGGGCCTCTCTCTCTCTGCACCTATCCTGGCCAAACACCCTAGCCTCATCCAGCTGTAGAGTAATGTCTGGAGACCCAGGACAGAGCATTCCATCTCCCTAAAATGATTCTCTTCTAGCTGAGCATGTGATCTCCCAGTGCTTAAGAAGATGAGGCAGCTGGGCGGTGGTGGCGCAGGCCTTTAATCCCAGCACTTGGGAGGCAGGGGCAGGCGGATTTCTGAGTTCAAGGCCAGCCTGGTCTACAGAGCGAGTTCCAGGACAGCCAGGACTACACAGAGAAACCCTGTCTCGAAAAACAAAACCAAAAAACAAAAAAAGAAGAAGATGATGCAGGAGGATTATCACAAGTCTGCCTGGGCTATATTGTATGAGACCCCATCAGTGTCTGCTGGGCTTTGACATAGCTCAAACTGTTGCCAAGGGCCACTCTGTTGTCACTTGGTTGCTTGATATGGAGTCTCATGTAGCCAAAGAGGACTTGCTGGGATGACAAATATTCATTGCCACTGAGTGGCTCCAGCTAGATGCTACTTCCCCAAGGGACTTTGAACATACCTGCAGACCCTAAAGTTGTCCCAACAGCAGAGCCGCAGACACTGAGTGGGTGGAAGCTGGGCCCAGCATTGCATCCTACAGTGTCTGCCCAGTTGGTCTGAGTGCTCACTGTGCTTACTACATTGGCCTGGGCTTGAGTCCCCAGCACTTCCCTACCTCTGAGTAATGTAAGGTGCATAAGGTGTCTTCTCTCCCACAAAGCCTGCCTAGAAAATAACACCCACTCCTCCTGCAGCTGGGGTGGAACTGCATGTATCAAGTCCTAGGTCATCTCCAGCAGCCCATACACTAGGTGCAGAGGCACACAGACCTGTCAACCCAGCATTTGGGAGGTTGAGGCAGGAGGATCAGATGCTCAAGGTCAGCCTCAGCTGTATAATGAAGTACAGGCCAACCTGGGCACATTAGACCCTGTATCGGATATAAGAAAACCACAGTTCTTTCAAGGTCAGGAGGGTAAATGAAAGGGATTCAGTGGATGCTTAATTGTTGCCAAAATAGAGGGACAAGCAGGGGATCCTGGCTGCCAGGGTTGTGATTTGATTTGAGTCTAACTCTGGTTTGTGTGGTATTTTGGGGCACAGTCCCTGTGTCCCAGAGGCAGGGGAGGGCAAGTGCTGAGCACAGAACCTTATATAGAATTGCTGAAAGGGTTTCCCCATTTCCCAGATGTGAAAACTGAGGCCCAAGGTAGAGACTTTACTGGGAACCCCATCTCATGAACTGGGACCTCCCAGACAACACTCAGGTTTCCTGTCCAGGGACTTCCAACCCAGCTCACCTGTTCAGAAGGTTGGAGCAGCCCTGCTGCACCCTCTGCCATCTGTGGGTCAGTGGCCACTGCAAAGACAGAGCCAGGCAAGGACTGAGGAGCAGGCCTCTGGCTAGAGCCTATTGCTGTTGTGCTATTACCAGGCCTGGCCCTAAAGGACAGGAATGTCCCAGCCACTGGCAAGGGACAGCAGGAGCCAGGCCCAGCCTCCTCTCCTGTTCCCTGCCAAGGATGGCCCTGTCCTGTGTGACACAGGCCCCTGAAGCTGTGGGAGGACATTCTGTACTTGACTCTGGGTACTGGACACCCACCCTGCACACTTGGGGCCCACAGAGCCTGCAGTGGGCGAATGGTGCCACCCACCCTGCCACGGCCACCAGCTGCCTATCACAAGTGTGTGGCCTTCAGAGCAGTGGCCTGCTGCAGGTACCCCAGCTGAGTCCCAGAATGCTGTGTGACCACAGGGCAGCTGCTGGCCCTCTCTGAGTACCCTTGACAAGCTCAAACAAGCAAAACATCCAGTCTGGTATCCAGTGCAAAAAGCAGAGGGGCCATGGCAGGGTTTAAACACACCCTCCCCCTGGCTATATTGCCCAGTATCTCTGCCTCAGTTTCCTCATCTAAGGAGATAACACAGACACAAGGTCACCAGAATTGCCACCACTCCTTCCTGGGCAATTGCTCTGCCAGGCCACTCAGTCCCCAGCACCTCTCTTGTGGCACTCACCTGGAGATGGAGGGACAGGAGTCCCTGAGGGGCCTGTGTCTGTTTGTATGTCCTTTGTGGATCTGTGAGTGTGGGACACCAGGTTCCGGGCAGAGCTGAAGCCAGGCAGGGACCCGAAGAAACTGCTCAGGGTCTGTGTGGGGTGGGTGGGGGTGGCGTGAGTGGACATGGGTTACCTTCCCAGGGTCTCTGGCAGGGTACCCCTCTGCTCTCTTACCTTGCCCTTGGATTGGGGGGGACCCCTGGTCTCATCTCCTGAAGCTGACATGACGACAGCCTGTGGGGCTAGAAGGGGGCAGAAAGTGCCACATACGGTAGGGCCCTCCTGTCCCACTCCACCCTAATTCCTACCCGCACCCCCTTCACCCACCTGGAGGTGGCAGTCACTGGGTGACACAGCAGCTGGACTCACATGGACCATTCAGGGTCCCTCAGAGCAGGACAGCTACTGGCAGTGCCTGGGCTCCCAATTCCCAAGCCTTATAGGGTCTGGGAAGGATGTGGGCCTGGCTGGCCCAGGCAGGCAGCCAGAGCGTGGGGGGGGGGGGAGTGTCACATGCCTGCATGCCCAGGCCAGTGTGGACCCGGCCCAGCACCTTTCCCCTGCTCTCCACTGTGGGCCAAGTAGCCTGTTTATGGTGCCCGCTGAAGGCCCAGTGAGTCACAGGCCAGCTGTGCTCCCCAACGGACTTCCTGCTCTCTGCTTCTGCTTTTCTGAGATGGGATGCCTTCCTTACCAGGCACCACCTTTGGGTCTCAGTTTCCCGTCTAGACTCATCAGCTGGCATCCTTGCCTCCCTCCTCCCACTGCCCCAGCTCCCTGGCTCACGGTACTCCAGGCACACTCAGGACAGTCGCTCACCCAGACCCTTTGCACAGCTGTGTCCTCTGTCCCAGGTCCTTTGTATGAGCCATGCCCCTGCCTGGTACACCTCCCTGTAGATTCCCACACAGCCTCGCCTCTGTCGTCCTGTTTGTTTATATAGTGCATATGGTGTGTAGCCCAGGATAGTGAGTGCCTGGCACACAAGACACTGAGGAAACATTGTCTAAATGGGGACAAGTAAAAGTGCAGGAGAGTTTGAAATAAAGTCATATGTGATCAGTAGTCACTCAACAAACAGTACCTTAGCATCCACTAGGCAGAAACTGTCTCCAAGAGAAGAGTGCATGTCTCATGGATGGCAGTGACATGTCCCGCTACTGAAAGGGGCTTGGACTGAAGTGTGAGAACCCAACCTTGATGGATCTGGCTTAACCAGTGTGTAGGGGGGGGGAGCATCCTCCAGTGTGTGTGTGGGGGCGTCCTGGGCCTGAGCTCCACAGGCAGGATTCAGACAGCCCCTGAACTCACTGTATGCTAGCAGGCCATCAGTGAAGTGACTGGGCACAGTGACTGTCACTCCCACCTGGAACAGAGGTGACGACCTCAGTGATGGAGCAATTAACTCTGGTGCTGAGCTGGGGAAGAGGTCCCCGCAGAGGTCTGTGTCCCTGCTGGTTTCCCTGGAGTCTTGGTTGTGTTGTGTGACAGTTCTGGAGCAGAAGGGGATGTTCCTGGCTATTGCTGCTGAGAGCCTGGGGTGGGTGGGAGCACTGCAGTCAGCTCCCAGCTGCTCCTCACAGTTCACTACGCTCCCTGGAGGAGGCATAGGGCCTAGAGGACGTTGTGCCTGTTCTGAGCACCAGGGAGTTAGGGGGTTCTGGATGCCCAGAAATGCCATCTAGACCAGGCTCTGGAGAAGCCAGGGGCTGCTCTGACCTCACCATGCTAGACAGTGGTTTCCCAACACACTGCCCAGACCTAGGAGTCAGAGGGGCAGCCAAGATTGTGGTGAGAGGTCGGGAGAACCCCATGGGACCCATCCTGGCCTTTGCCCTGCCTCTCTCTGTCTTCCACAGCCCCTCACCAATGCAGCCAAGAAAGCTGCAGATCCAGTGAGGAGAGAGAAGAGCCACCCCATGGGATCTCCCCCATTCCTCTGCTGCTCCCAAGAGGTTCTAAGAGCTCGTTTATACTAAAGTAAGAATGGCTTCCATTTGTGTGTGTTTGAGGTTTAACCCAAGCTACTCCATGCGGCTCTTTAAGAAACTTACCGTCCCTGAATGCTGGCTCAAAAGTCCATCCCTAAAGTCACACCCTGAAAACTCCTAGCACCCAAGTTCCAAGACTCACCTCAGACCACACCAAACATGTTTATTCTGGACCACAAACAGCAAAGCAATTGGGTCTCTCTGGCCCAACAAGGGTGGCTGGACACCAGCCAAAAACATTCACATTCGATTCAGGAGTTCCAAGCCCCAGGTAGATGCTGTGGGTACCAGGTCTTCCTCCAAAACACCTTTCTTTTCCTTTTTTTCTCCCCCTTGAGACAATCTTTTTTTTTTTTTTTTTTTTTTTTGGTTTGGTTTTTTGAGACAGAGTTTCTCTGTGTAGCCCTGGCTGTCCTGGAACTCACTCGGTAAACCAGGCTGGCCTCGAACTCAGAAATCCGCCTGTCTCTGCCTCCCAAGTGCTGGGATTAAAGGTGTGCGCCGCCACCACTGCCCGGCGAGACAATCTTGATAAGGTAGCTCAAGCTGGCCTCAAACTCACAATCCTCCTGCCTCATCCTCTCATGTGTCAACTTTGGGGGTAAGGACAAGATCATAGAGGAGGGAGAGTCTCCTATGAGTACCCCACTGAGGTCCACTTAGACCTCAAAACTATCCATGGCAGGGAAGAGAATACAGAAGTGCTGGCCCGCATAAGTGTTGTCATGTGACCACCAGGGGGCAGTAGGGACCTCTATTGTCAGAAGTCCAGCTCTGGCATCATTGTGTGCTTGACTTGGCCCCTTGGGGGCTCAGCCTCTTGTCCCACAGGGTGTGCAAGCTCAGCCTCCCAGGCCCTCTTCTGGGCTGGCCAGTCCATGTGTGCCCAGCGGGGGTCAGGGTCACCCACCACCTCATCCACACAGGTGGCCAGGTTGATCAGGGGCTCTGATCGCTCCACCAGGATGGGCGCAAAGGGCCCCACAAGCCAGGGCAGTGGCACAGCCCGCAGGACCAAATCCAGAAACTCATCCACACAGGCATGTGCCCGGGCCACGCTGCCCTGGCCCTCAGCCAGAGCAGTGGGTGCCACGTCACCAAGGCAGTGCGCATCAGCAAAGGTGGCCCGAAGAGCATCCACGCTGCGCTGCACCTCAGCCACCTTGGCCTGGGCACCAGGTGGCAGGCCCCGGACACAGCCTGCCAGAGCATCCACTGCTCTCTGCAGCTCCAGGGTCAGACTTCGAGACAGAGCCAGTGTCTCCAGCTCCACCTACAAGGGCAGACCTCAGATTTCTCACACGTCTAACAGGAGCCTTGGCCTATCTTAGTTTTCTCATGCATTTAATGGAAGCCTGGGCCTGCCTTAGTTTCCCCATGAAATCTAAGGTGAGGGCCTTGGCTTGGTTCAGCTTGCCTCGAGAACACAGGAATTTGACCAAATTGCTCACATGGACACCTAATAGGATTGGCCTGTTTCCCCTGTGGACACACTATGGGGGGGGATGACTTGAGCCTGGGCTTGCAGCACATCCCTGTCCCAGGTCCAGGGTGGGTCCTGCCCTCCTTGTGGCACTTTACCTGGCTGTGACTGCGGCCATTCTCCAGACATGGGCTCCAGTTCTCCCGCAGCTCCTGAACCTTTGGGGGATGGGCGAGGCTTGCCCCACTCTGCATATGCTGGATCTGTGGGACGGGGCACCAGGAATTAGGCTGAGGGCTTGAGGTGAGTGGACCTACTCTAAACCTGCAGCAGGATTCCAGCAGCCCTTAACGAGTGCCGTCAGAAAGCAGCCAGCCTTGGGCTCTGCTGGCCAGCCCACCCCTCCTCCCTTCTGCTCCTCTAGATGCTTACTGTCACAGCCCTGTCCACGTGGGTCCCTGCCCTGCCACTCCTGCCTGAGGAAAGTGAATGGACATACACTGTGGAATATCCATGGGAAAGAATAGTATTCAGCCAGGAAATGAAGCTCAGTGGGTGAAAAGACAGGACACACAGCATAGACTGACTCCCAGGTTGGGGAAGAGGGCTGACTAGAGATGGAATTACTATTGAATGCCTTCACGTAGGGAGGGCATGGGTGGGGGTGGCTGCACAGTTTCCTGAGTGCTGGGAGGACAGGCCTGTACCACCACGCCCCAGACACCAGTTAGATACTGCAAGATCCTGTTGCCCCACACAGCTGGAAAAGCATTGCAGCTCTGGGCAAGCACACAGTGAACTTTCTCAATAAGCACTTAGTAACCAGACTGTGTACAAAGTGTACCCCATCAGCCACAGTGGGTGGGCAGGAATAGGCCAGCTGTACAGTAGGTGCTCAATATCCTGCTGCGAGGAGAGCTGGGGTACGGTTCAGTGCAGAGCCCCTTCCCAGCATATGGAAAGTCCCCATCCCATCCCACTACTGGGAATGAGGAGAATCTAGAACTTTCTGACACACCGGAAATTACTTACAAGTCACCCAGGTGAAGGATGTGAAAAGGCCTTGTGGCAGGGCAAACTGAGTGGGCATAAAATACAGTATATGTGTGCTGTGGAATACTATTCAGCCAGGAAAAGGAGGGAGACACTAACACCTGTAGCCATGTGAGTGCACACACTTCAGGATCCAACTCCCAGAAGAGCCTAGACAAAGGCCCTGGGGCACGGTAGCCTGGTGGGATGCGGTGGGGGCAGGGAGGGAGGGGGACATGATGGGAGGGGGACAGAAGAGGGAGTATTCAGACTATGTTCACAGGCACCATCTGATGTCTGCTGTGGGGAGGACCACGTGTGTGAAGCTGGGACGGGTGGAGGGTGGGGGTGTGAGGAGGCGACGAAGCAGGTAGACTGGGCAAGGGATTTGAAGGCAGAGGCCACTGTTAGCCACCAGGTAGGTGGGAAAGCAGGAGGGGGCCCTCTCCCACAGGACGGCCTCAGCTGGGACGGGGAAAGAAAATGCAAAGAGAGCCAGCTTGGGGTGAAGGCTGAAATCAGGAAGCTAGGGTGACAGTTCCAGATGGGAACAGGGATGGGGTTTCTTCCTCCCTTTTGTAGAGTCAGAACTCTGGGAGCCCAACCTCCAGCGAGAGCCCCGCCCACATCCCTCCTCCGAGAAACCCGCCTACATCACCAGGGAATGCCCCGCCCCCTGCTCACACCCCAACACTCGGATCTGCAACAGGTTGCTCACCAGCTCCAGGGTTTCCTGTAGCTGGGCCAGCATCTCCTGGGTGCGGTGTTTGCTTTGCCTCAGTTTCCCCAAAGAGTGTTCATAGGCGAGATGGCGGAGACGTGCCGATAGGGATCCCAGACGCACAAAGTAGCCCTGTTGCTGCCTCTGCTCCTCCACTGAGCCCACTTCAGGGCCCTCAGCCTCAGCCGCCAGGGCCGCTAAGGATGAGAAAACCAGGGATTCCCCATGGCCACAGCCTGCACTTCTGCCACTCATCACCCCGAGCAGAACCAGGTCCCCAGATACCCAACATCGGCCCCTTTAACCTTCTCCAAACCCTAGGAAGTATAGTTTACTTTTGTTAACCTTGTTTTGAAACATAGAGCCTCCAATGCCAATTTTGGGAGTTGATCATCCTGTCTCTACCTCTGAGTGCTGCGGCGACAGGCGTGCACTGCCACACGGGGTTTATGGGATGCTGGAGATGGGACCCAGGGCTTTGTGCATGCTAGGCAAGTAGCCCCAGCGCTACTTGATCAGTACCTAGCTCAGCTTCAGTCATGGGCAGGAAGCGGTCCACCAGCTCCTCTGACTTGCCAAGCACCATGTCCATGGCTTGGCTCATGGAGCGCTTCAGCTCTCCACTCCAACGCCGGCCCTTTCGGGCCAGGTCCACCACACCTGTGACACTTTTGGCCACTGTATCCTTGGCTGAGGTCACCACCTGCAGGAAGGGAGTCACTCTGGATGCTGTGGGCTAGTGGCTCTGTTTACCCCCACCATAGTCCTTGAGCAGAGACCTCGAAGATCTCTGGACCTCTTCTTAGTTCTGTGCCTCAGTTTCCCCTTCATTAAAGGGCAGCACTAAAGCCCTCCCACTCCGGCCAACCAGAGCTAATGCCAGACCTACTTGGTACATCATACATGCCTGATTCCCCCAAGTTCTCACCCTCCCTCGCTCTTCACCCTAAGGGGTGTCCCGAGGCCTGATCATCTCTAGTACCATGTCTGATGGCTGCTGCAGGAAGGGCAGCTGCTCCTCCAATTTGTCCAGTCCCCTGCAGGCAAGCTCATTCACTGTGGCCACTGAAGAGAGAGGGAGAGCAATGGGCAGGTGTAAAGTGCTCTGACAGGAGGGACATGGCAGAGAAGGGGAGAGAGACCACAGGGGACCTATGGCGTTCCAGCAATTGAGCCCAGTTTCTCCCAACCCCTGCTGGGTCCCTCAGTTCAACTGGGCTCAGAGTCTTGGGAACAACAGAAATGTTAGGAGCCGGCAGGGACCCTCTTCTTCAGTCACACAGTAGGCCAAGGGTCTCCTGTCCCCAGGTTGGGTGGGTGATGATGCCCGAAGGTTGGAAAGGGGGGGTACAGAATTAGGGACCTAGAGAGGACCCAAGAGAGGATTTGACCTCACTACGTGTGGATTTGACCCTAATGCCGCATACACCAAGTGTGGTGGTGCACTTCTGTCATCCCAGCACTCAGAAGGCCGAGGCAGGGGGATGGCTAAGCATTTCGGGTCAGTCTGGGCTACAGAACAAAATCCTGACTCAGAAAATGTTTAAAATGAGAGGGGTGGGAGAACTGTGAACGGGCCTGGGAGGGACGCCTGGTCCTGGGGAGGGTAGAGACAGACCACAGGTCAAGGTGGGGACTGGGGCAGGGACTCAGACTCACAGTGGGGATGCAGGTGCTCCAGCAGTGGCTGTGCGTGGTCCAGGGCACAGGCAGTCACACTGCACACACAGTGCTCAGCGAGGCGACAGGCAGAGCCCAACAGTGGGTGTCTGTCCTTGGCCGAGTTGTAAGCACCAGACACAGCAGTGCATGTGGCCCTGACCAGGGGCAAGGCCACCACTCGCTTCACCACACTCTGCAAAACAGTTACATCAGGGCACAGCACACCCCAACTCCCTTCTCGGGGCCAGGCTGGGGGACAGAAAGCAGGTCCTGCCAATGGCTGCAGCACACACACACACATACACACACACAGAACATCAGGGTAACATCTGGTCCTCCAGATGAGGCCCCCCGATGGGATCCAGTTGGGTGATAACCTCCCCCCGGGGCCTCAGTTTCCCCACAGGTGTAACTGTGAGTGATGTATGCCCTAGGTTCGGTGCTATAGCACTACATCACTATAGTGACTATCATGGATGACACCAGTCACCTGGAGCTATGAGAAGGGACTGGACCTTGGTTGTGCAAGGATGCAGCCATGAACCTTCCTCAGACTCCCCACCCCCACCCCATGCTGTCACTCTTCCAGCCCCTTACGTGCTGGTCCAGTTCCCCTAGGCTGGATCCAGGGTCCTGAGCTGTCTGATCACCGGACATCCTGGAGGTAGGACACAGAGAGTGAGGGAACTCCTGAGAGTCAGCCCTGTGGGATATTCTGGGGTCCATAGACAAGGCATGCACAAAGCCCAGCACATAGAAGGTATAGAATGAAAAATCTATGGCTTTGTTGGAGGAGAGACATGGGCCCTGGTGGGACAAGGATGAGTTCAAATTTCATCATTACCTGCTGTGTGGCGCTAGGGTGGTGTCTTCGCCTCTCTGGTCTATTTCCAGTAAGGACAGACTCGAAAACCAGCCCTCCTTGCAGAGGTGGAGGCAGCAGCGGGAGAATCAGAACCCTTTGACCGGCAGGAAAGTTGAGGCAGAGGTTGCACGTGGAGCTCCGAGGTCACCCTCAGCTGTCCAGGGTGTCAGGGACACTGACCTCAGGGCTCATGCCCTACGTGTCCCCACCATGGCCGTCCCACTGTCCTCTGCGCCTGGGCCCCGCCCAAGTGGGTCCTGGGGCCGGGCCCACTGGGCCAAGGGTCCCGCCACCTGTTGTGCCTGTGGCTGTGACTCCACGCATGCGCCCCCGCCACTTCCACCCCCACCGTGTTTGAGTCAGGACCATCTCTCCCTCCTCTCCTCAACTCCCTCCCCCCTGCGCGCCCTCACCTAGGTGCAGATCTCAGACACGGTGGGTATTCCTGGCTCTCCCAACTGACTCAGCCCGCCGTCCTTATAGCAGGCCTGGGTGGAGCCTCCACACGTGGGCCAATGAGGCGCCGGGGGTGTGTCTGGAGCTCCCCCACACACACACACACACACCGCCCCCCTGGTTGCCATAGCGACCCAGGGACGCTAAGTCCATGTTCACTCACCATGGCTGACATCAGACTGGGGTTTTCTTATTCTTCAATCTTTCCCGTTTGTTTGTTTTGATTCAGAGTCTTTCTCTGTAGTCAAGGCCTGACCAGAACTCACTATGTAGCCCGGAATAGCCTTAAAGTAACTACATAGTCAAGGATGACCTTGAGCTCGTCACTCAGTGGCTAGGACAACAGATGTGCCATACCACACACGGTTACACAGTGCTGGGCATGAACCCAGAGCTGCGGTGCTCGGCCGCCTCTGCCTCCTGGGCCGACTCTGGCCCAGCTTCCTTTATTATTATTATTATTACATTTATGTGTCCGGGTGATCTGCAGACATGTTTGTCTGTCTGTGCACCACAGATGCCTGATACCCGCAGAGGCCAGAGAACTTCACAGACCCCTTGTGACAGGAGTAACATGTGACTGTGAGCTATCATGTAGATGCTGAGACTCAAACCCCAGCCTGAGCTGTTAACCCATGAGTGGTCTCTCTGGCCTCCAGTTTATTTTTAATCTGCTGTTTAATCCTGAGAGCTGTTAAGCCTGCCAGCTCTGACCCCATTTTATAGATCAGCAAACTGAGGCTCTCACTCTCCCCACTCTCCCCAGCTCCATCTACAGGACTGGGTTGAGAAGCCTGGATTTGCTGAGTCATATGCTTATCACCCAGAGCCACAAGGTGGAGGCAGGAGAATCATGAGCTAAATCATCCTAGGCAGTATAGCAAGTTTGGGGCCAGCCTGGACAATATGAAACCTTGCCAAAAAAAAAAAAAAGTCCATACCCCTGCCTCTAAATGGGCAGAGACCCTCTGTCTAGGGGGTGAAAAACTAAAGCTGGGCTGTGGCACAGGCCTTTAATTCCAGCACTCAGGAGATAGAGGCAGGAGGATCTCTGAGTCTGAGACCAGCCTAGCCTACAGAGTGAGTTCCAGTACAGCCTGGGATATAGAGTGGAAAGAATCCGGAGAGCAGGCTTGCCATGTAAGCCTGAAGACCCGAGTTTGATACAGTGGCTCATGTGTGTGACCCCAGCTCTGGGAGGCAGAGGCAAAGGAAGAGGCAGGAAGATCCTGAGGCTCTCAGCAGGCCAGGCAGAGATCCTGTCTTAAAACATATGGCAAGGGTGAGCAAGATGGCTCTGCAGGTAAAGGAGTTTTCTGTCAAACCTGAGGACCTGAGTTCGAATTCCTAGCTGCCACACTGGGGACAGCTGGAACTCAACTCCTGCAAGTAGCCCTCTGACCTCCACGGGCTCACTGTGGTGCATGCACACAAAACAAATGTACAGCAAAAGAGAACAGCACAAACGCCGAGCTGTTCAGTCAGCCTAGGAGCTGTTTTATTAACTGTTTTGGTGACCCCTGAAACAGATAAGGCAAAGCCAGATAAACTCATGGCGGCCTGGGGTCCGGCACAGGACGAGCAAGAGGTGGAAGAGTTGAGACAAGTGGAGAGGAGCCAGCGAGGGAGTCAGGCAATAGCATTCCCGGGTGAGGGAACAGGGAATAGCAGGTGCTGGGCATCTGCGCACTGACATGGGACCAGATTTGGCTCAGGGGCGAGCGGGGTGCCCTTGGTCCGCACCCCAGTCGCCGTCCTCACAGGGACCGCAGCCCTGCCACGTCCAGCAGTCGCCGTCCCCTCACAGCCTCGGGCCCTGCACAGCGCGTGTCGTTCTGAGAGAACATCTTGTGTCGGTTGGCGTCCAACCAGCGGTACAGGTCCACAAGGTCCTTGTTACAGACCCAGGGGTTGTGGGAGATGTCGAAGCCGCCCTGCATGTCGCGGGTCGGCCTCCCCAGGAACGCCCACAGGCCCGGGGGTGTGCTGGACAGAGAGTTATTGGACAGATCCAACATATCCAGCTGCTTTAGGCACCGGAAGGAACCGGCCGCCACCGAGGCCAGCTGATTGTCATTCAGAAACAGGACACGCAGGAATGGTTGGGGCGCAAGCAGGCCATCCCCCAGCTTCTGAAGCCGGTTCCCTTCCAGGTGCAGGCGCTGCAGCTGCCTTGGGCCCTTCAGGAGTCCCTCGGGCAGCGACTCCAGCAGGTTGTGCCCAAGGTCGAGGGTGTGCAGGGCGCCGAGGCTGGCGAGGAGCCCTACAGGCAGCGAGCGCAGCCGATTCTCCGCCAGGTCCAAGTGGCCCAGGGCGTGCAGGCCCTGCAGCCATCGCGCGCCCACCGCCCGCAGCTGGTTCTCCCTCAGGACCAGGGTACTCAGGGCAGCCGAGGTGCGGAACAACCCGGGGGGCAGACTGCGGAGAGCATTGCGGGTCAGATCCAGGATGCGCAGCCGGGGCACAGGAGCCAGCAGCCCAGGGAACAGCTCCTGCAGGCAGTTGCTGGAGAGGTGCAGCTCCCGCAGACCTGGACACCCTTGCAGGGCGGCGGCGGGCAGTTCCGTCAGGTTGGAGAATTCCACTGACAGATGGACAGTGTCAGCCGGGAGGGAGCTCGGAAACTCAGTGGGACCATGGCAGGAGACGGTGCTGCCCTCAGCCGACTGCAGTATCAGGCATTCCTTGTTGCTGGACACCCCGCCCAAGAGGGCTAGGAGGAACAGGATTCTGGGAAGGCAGATGTTGAGATCCTGGAGGCTGAGGTTAGTAAACCATGGTGAAAATATATCCCCTTCTTGCCATCCCCGTGGCCACCACCCTGGACTGTACCGACCCAGTCCTTCCTTACCAGGACTGGAACAATATGATCGTCATGGTTTCTTTCCTGAGTCTATTTTTGTCTCCTTAGCTGGCTAGGTGGGTGGGTTGCAGAGCCAGTGAGCTCCTATTCATTCTGCAAAGCCTCAGGCACAGTATACCCTGGATTTCATTCTCACTGCTGCCTTCCCTCAGCGTCCAAGAGCAGCCCCTGTTCCACAGCAAATCTCTATGACTCTTAACTTCCTGAGTCTGACCCCTATACATTTCCTCCCCTACTATCACCTCTAACAGGTTACCAGTTATTAATTATTCCCAGTCCAAGTGCCTAGTTACTTCTAACCTGGTTTGTATCCTGGGTCTATCCCTATCTCCCTGGTTAGGTGTTCAGAAGAGAGAGTCGGAGAATGGACTCCTGTTCATTCTGCAAAGCCCCAGCCATAATGTCTGGCTTTCATTAGCCCTTCTCTGCCCTCCTCAGGAAGGCAGAAGCTTCCAAATTGGGCGTTTTCTTTCTCTGTCCAGCTTTCGTATGGGTTGTATGGTCACCACTGGGTGTTCAGGGAGAATTCATGGTCCAGGTGAACATGGATTCCTCTGTAGGCATATCTGGTCTCTATGACAACCCTCAGAGGCTTGTCTAGGGCTTCCCTATTGCAGTGGGTGTGACTAAGGGCTCAAGCCTGGGACCTTGGGCAAGTACCATCTACCATCCCTGCTCAAGGGGCCTCCGACAGTCTATCTGGGAGTAAGCCTGTTTGTATTGCCTGCAGGCCTGAATCTGTTCCTGGCAATCTCAGTGTGTCAGACTAATGTCCCCATGTGTGGGACTGTAATTTGGCCACACTCCCCAGAGCCCAGAGAAGGGGCGGAGAGAACAAATCTCTGCCTCAAGATTTCCCTGGCTCCGCCCTTCTCCTCCATTTCCAATATATAAGCAAGACACCTTCCGACATTTTTCGGGAGAGCGTTTCATCATTCACCACCCAAGCCTGTCATCTGTTAATAAATCAACATATTTTAAATCGTCACATGTCTCTTAAATTCTGGACTCTTCGTTCAAGTAAGTCAAGGCTTGCCCGCGCCCCTGTCTGCGTGGGGCAGGGGGAGGGAGAGAAGTTGTTCGCCCGCTCTCTGTACTCTAGTTAGCTGCGCAGCTTGTGTCCTGTGTCTCTTGTTACTGCACGCCAGCTCACGGGACAGGGGATGAGAAGCCTTTTTCTCCGCAGTCGGCTCTGCACGCCCCGCTGTCCCGAGACCGCCCTGACATCTGTGTGCTGGTGCATGGGCTCCGGCCCATGCCCACACCCAGGCTGCCCCCGCGCGACCCGGGCGTGAGATCTGCCCTACACCCATGACTGTGCTTGGCCTGGTGCCAGGTCTGCCTAGAACTGGTCAGGTAGAGACCTACCTTCCTCGATGCTGCCAAGAGGCCATGGCTGCTCCTCTATGTCTGTCCTCAAGACTCCAGGAAGGTGGCTTTATATAGTCCCCACCTCCAACTCTGCTCTGGCAAAGCAGGAAGAGCCTGGGGACAGGTCAACATTGCTACATCCCTTCCTGGCAGTGACTGTGGCTTCCTGCCCACCCTTTCCCAGACTTTCTCCAGCTTTTACTTTTTACTTCTTCATTGGGGTGGGCGGGGGGGGGGGGGTTGTTCCAGCCAGTGTCTCCTGGGCTGAGTCCCTACCTCTCCCACCCAGGATTCAGGGACTGAGCTTGCAATGAGAGTAGGAACCTGGCTGCTCTTTGAGCAGGGGACAGGAAATGTATGGGGAAAATCTCTGGTCTTGAATACCTGATGTGTTCTTGTTTGCTTTTCATGTCCAAGTAGCTTTCCTACTGAACAAGGAACAATGTCTAATGCCTGGTTCTGGATTTGAGGTCTTCCACAAGGAACAAAAGCAGTTCTGGCTTAGGTTCTCTGGGACTCAATTTCCCCACCTGCACACCTGAACTTGATTATCAAGAGATTCTTTGGTGATTCCATCTTCCTGAAGTGCAGTGTCTGCATGTCTGTTGTGAAGACACACTGTGGTACCTCACATGTCATCTCATCACAGCACAGGGTTGGAGTATAGAGGCAGGAGAATCACTTCTACTTTGACACCAGACTGGGCTACATATTGAGACTGTCCAGCAACAAAAACCACAATAGTAAAATGCATTTCAAGGCTATGAATTTGCCTTCGAGGACACCTTTGGCTATATCTATGTGTGAC